TGGCAGCGTAGTTGTGGAGTGTGTTTTAAGTAAGTTTGTGGTGGTTTGTAAGGGAAAAGTTGTTAAGATTTTTATGGACATGGGAATGAGCAATATTTGTGTGCATGTGAAAAGTATACGGTCATACTCAGAATGGTATACTGATGTATGTTATGGATAAGTTAAATTTGGAATATGTTGTAATGTATTATCAGGATTGGTGGTTGTATTAAAACAAAGGACATGCGGGCGTGATAAATATGTCTGTGTACCAAATGTACTGCTAATAATGAGATAATGTAACGTGTGTGATTTTTATCATACATCAAGTGTATATAGCAGTATGTAAGAGAGAATTTCATGTACTCAGTATGGGTTGTATATTGGTATTCGGTGAAGTTCAAGGAATATTATTGACGAGTGATGGGTATATAAGGATGTGTTGAAGTACAATGTGTTAAGTAGGGTTAGGATGGTGAGGCAAGTAATGCTGCGGTCTGTAGAATAAGAATATAGTCTTGTTTAAGTTAATGTTTAATAGTAATGACTGTATATTTCATTATATGGTAGAAGAAGTTTGTTACTCAACACTGGAAATTATATTTGAAAAATATTACTAAATATACGTGATTCTGTAAGTTCGCTTGTGGTGATGAATGTAGTGTATGGAAGTGAGGTGGGACGAATGTAGTGTATGGACGTGAGGTGGGACGAATCATTTGTTATATTATACTGTGTTTAGTTTTTCTGTGGTGAGGTGTGGAGATTGTTATTTTCTAACCTTTATTTGTTTCGTAATTATTGAGGTGTTACGTATTATGTATTTGATATGAAGTTTAATATACAACAATAGTAAGTGTGTAAAGAATTTTTGGATAATTGAGAATGTCTTCGTACATACAGTTTTATGTAAAATGTCAATACCTGTGACATTCTTTGGGTTATATTGCATATTGTGTTTATGGCTGCAATTTTGGATGTACTAAACCCACCTGTATATGAAGCTGTGGGCTGTCTTTAGTTTAGTTCTTATGTATAAGTTTAGTGCTACGGTAGGGAATGTGGAGTTTTCTTTTGTTATATATAATGGATACGTTTCATTGCTTACATTGTCTACATGTATAACTATGTATTGCGTTTTTCAATAAAATATAAAAAAAAAAAATACCAACTTACCTCATAATTTGTAATATTTTAAAGTTAATAACTATTCTAAGCTGCCCGAAATGCCTAGCCATGCTAGGTGTTCTAGTGGCTCCCTCTGTAATTAGTGTTTTACTACATGTAAACCGCACAATAACCAAATTCTGTAAACTCAGCATTGTAATCCTTATAGAGAATAAAATTTGAATTTGAATTTGAGTTTGAATTTGAATTCTTCTACCATTGTGTTGCCAAAGAGTTAAGCTATTTTTCTATAAGATTAACTCAATTTGTGAATTTTTCGACATTTTTTTTTATTCGCGCTGAGCCCGCTCAAGGGGGAAAATTCCTTGTAACTCAAATAAGGGATTAAAGTACACTACGAATGTATACATTCATTTTTAATTAGGTAAATGTTGCTCTGAATCCTTGGATCAAGAGCCACTGCTAAACAAAACGAAAATTGCTAGGTTGGCGGGAAGCAGCAGCCAATTAAAGCCACGATTTAACCTATGACGTCACACTCGACGGCCAAGACCCAGTAAACAATCAAGAGTTGTGACGTCACTGTTGAGGATGTATACATCACGGTTGATCAGCCAATGAAAGTAAGTACTCAGAGGCTCTTACGTCACAGTCTGGTGTGGTGCATAAGTCCGCGAAAAACTTGCGCCTCAGTCATGCGCGGGAGAAGATGACGTATGGATGCACGCTCCTCCGGTAAGCATTTTTCCTTTATATCGCCAAAATTACTGGTTGTTTTCATTAACTAATGCTTTTACATGGTCATATAAACAGTATATATATCTTTTAAAGTAATTGTGCAATTATTGATTTTTGTTCCAATAAATTTGTTGAAACTAAGTTCAGCAGCCAACTTTATATGGTAAGTGCTAACTATATTATATGGTCACTTATGTAACTTGCACTTATCACCATTTATTACGTCACTACCACTTATAAGTGCTGGTTTATGATGGATTGAAACATTAACAAGAGGTCGTTAAGTGTAAATTGTCACCACCACTTGTGAGTTGTAACTCACTTTACCACATACAAGAGGAAAGTTTAACTTATATCACTAGTAAGTGGTAAGTTGTCACTATCACTTAAGTGGTTTAGAGTAACGCCCCTGTAACACTTATAGTGGCGCAGTAATGTGCGCCGATAAATTAGCGCCAATGTTTATAATACATGTTAGGAACCATTAAGATATTAATCATAAATATTTCCTTTCTAGGCTATTTCTACATAAATATATTTATTTTTATTAGGGGGAGATTGCTCCAAATCCTTGGATCAAGAGCCCATCACCTGCCAGGTGTATGCATGTCACCGCTCTGGCCACAGCCAATGAAAACGAGAGTTGCTAAGTTGGCGGAAAACAGAAGCCAATTACAGCCTAGATTTAACCTATGACGTCACGGGTTCGAGCGCCAAAACCTAGCAGCCAATCAGCAGTCGTGACGTCACTTGACGAGCCAATCAAAGCGCACAGAGACTACTACGTCACAGTGGTGGTGTGGTGCGGGAGCCCCGTATAACTTGCCTCAAGTCATGCGCGGGAGATGGCGTGAGGACGCGCGCTCCTCTGGTAAGAATTTTTCCCATATTTCTCCTAAATTACTTGTCATTTACATTGTTTTTACATGGTAATATAAAGTGTGTATATCTGAAATAGTAATACTGCAAAATATGGTAAGTAACTTTTAATGTCACCACTTAAGTGGTTGTAAATTGTCATGTACCACTTATATAAGTTGTCACTAGCACTGAATGGTAAATTGTCTGAAAATTGTAAGTGGTGGGTAGTAACGTATGTCGTTTTACCACTGTCGTTTATGGTTGTAACTTGCCCCTTCACTGATGTCACTTTAAAAGTGGTCGTTTATGGTCTTGTAATTTGTCACCACCAATTAAGTGGTAATTTAGTATGGCATCACAATACCACTTGTATGTGGTCAATTATAATTGTACCTTTTACACTATCACTTACGTAAGTGGTTGTTAGTTTATATATTCTGGAAGTGGCCTTTAATATCACCTTGACGGGCAGGATCTTGATCCAAGGAATCTGAACCACTATTTCCAGTAGCGACTTCCATTCCCCAGGCACTGTATGGCCCCCCTACGGGTTTAGCGCTTTACCGTAAATGCCACGGCACAGCATGTGCTCAGTTGGCACCATTAACTCGCGTTCTTGGCGCCAATGTGTGAAATCCGCTCTAGGAAGCGCAAAGCCAGGTCACTCAGCCCCCTAAATGATTAATGCGTTTCAAAACTTAACCACGCGTGGCTCAAGTGTATATATACACTTGAGATGTTTATGTATATACATGTATATATACTCGGTGTATATACATTGAGATTCAGAATATATATAAAATATTTTCTCATTTCTGGACTATTTCTATATATAATTGCTTTTATTGGAGGGGTGCTCCAAATCCTTGGATCAAGAGCTCATCAAAATGTCCTGGCCACAGCCAAATACAAAGTTGGCGGGAAGCAGCAGCCAATTAGTCTCGAGTTAACCTATGACGTCACGGGTTCGAACGCTAAGACCCAGCAGCCAGTCAGTAATCGTGACGTCACTTGGCCAAACATACGTCACTGTCGATCAGCCAATCACTTCAGCGGCTCCTACGTGACTGGTGGTGGTGCGGGAACCCGCGAAAACTGGCGCCTCAGTCATGCAGGGGAGAAAATGGCGGGGGGGAGGTGCGCACTCTGGTAAGAATTTTATCCTCATTTCTTCAAAATTACTGGTCGTTTACATTTAAATAATGTTTTTACACGGTTATATAAAGTAAATATATCTGAAGTAATAATTTTGTAAAATATGGTAACTTATGTCTACGCAAGTGGTTGTCAATTGTCACGTACCACTTACATAAGTGGTAACTTGCCACTTTACCTCTAATTGGTATGTCACTACCAGGTATAAGTAATTGGTTGTAACATTGTCATTACCACTAACTGGTAAGTGTTGTAATTTGTCATTTTACCCCTTAAAAGTGATCGTTTATGATCGGTTGTAACTTGTCACTTTACCATTCACTACCACTTAAGTGATCGTTTATTTTAAATTTTCTGGACCATGGCCACAGTGGGAGGATCTTGATCCAATGAATCTGAGCCACCATTCCCAGTAATGAATATATCCCATTCCCCAGGCTATGGGGGATAATTCCACTCCCCGGGGGCTATGGGGGATATTCCATTCCTCGGTATATATTCCATTCCCCAGGGGCTATGGGGGATATATTCCATTCCTCGGGCTCTGCGGGGGATATATTCCATTCCCCAGGGGTTGTGGGGATTGATGTAAACTTGAAATGTGTGTATATAGCATATCAATGTGTGTATATATATATATATACTTGTTCTCTGTATGTGTGCATTGAGAGATTCAGTATACAAAATATTTTCTCATTCTGGGATATTTCTGTTTCCTTTATTTCTCCTAAATTACTGGTTATTTATAATTAGTGGATTTACATGGTAATATAAAAAGTATGTATATATAATCTGTAGTAGTAATTCTGTGAAATTATTTTTATTCCAATTGAAGCAGACGAGTTCAGCAGTAACTGTTAACCTTTATGGTAAGTGGTAACGTTTGTCACTTTCACATATAAGTGATCAGTTATTACTTATCCCTTTACCATTTGTCTACCACTTATGTTATTTTACCACTTTTTCGACCTTACCATTTGTCACTACCACTTATATCACTACTATAAATTTTAATTGAAATTATTATTCGCTGAAGCATTAATTTATTATCCAGCGTGTTATATAAGGACTTTGTTGCCATGGATACGTGAATATGGTGGATGCCTTGTTGAATTATTCTAGTAAACTAAGATTTAAATGTCATAGTATATGTAGTTTTTTTTGTAATTACTGATTTTAATGTTTATTATTTTAAACTGATTTAAAGTTGATATAATTTTTTGCAGTTGCCATGTTTTAAGTTGATGCAGGTTAAATTTATTCATATTTTCCAAAAGCTTTTTTTTTTTTTTTTTTTTTTAGAGGGGGGGGGTGTTGACCCTTTGAGATCCTAACGGTGTATGACCCTTGTAGGTTTAGAGCTTCTTTATGGTTATATTACCCTTGTAGGTTTAGCGCTTTATGGTTATAATGTATGGCCCTTGTAGGTTTAGCTCATTGTGGTTATGTATGACCCGTTGGGTTTAGTTATTAGTTAAGATTATAATTTTTAAAAATTGATTTAGGAACTTCTTAGTAATTTTGAGATGATTTAAAGCTGAACACCTGTTCAGTATTACTGGACTTTGGTTAATATTTTAGGTATTAAAAGTATTGATAAATTAGACACGTGTGCAACTCTTGGGTATCTTTATTGAGGAAACGTTTAGCCACACAGTGGCTTCATGAGTCCATAGGTAGGAGAAACTTGAACAGGAGGAGAATGAGGTAATCAGTCCCTCAACCTTGAGTCGATGTGTTCAGTCCACTCAAGGTTGAGGGACTGATTACCTCATTCTCCTGTTCTTCAAGTTTCTCCTACGTATGGACTCATGAAGCCACTGTGTGGCTAAACGTTTCTTTCCTCAATAAAGATACCCAAGAGTTGCACATGTGTCTAATTTATCAACATGTCGGTTCTCTGAACCATTCATTCCAATTAAAAGTATTCTTGACAGGTGGTGCATAGGTTACATGCAGCCTTAATGACCGTGTAGTAAAAAGGCTTTAAACCCAATACCCTAGTGGGTTTAGTGCTTTTTGATTATTAAACCCAGCAAATCATGACGTTCGTGAAGTAGATAGGCTTTAAGCCCAATAAATTATGACCTTTGTGTAGTAGATAGGCTTTAAACCCAGTAAATCATGACCTTCATGAAGTAGATAGGTTTTAAACCCAATGAAGCAATTATGACTTGTGAAGTAGATAGGCTTTAAACCCAATAAATCATGACCTTCGTGTAGTAGATAGGCTTCAAGCCCAATAAATCGATCATGACTTGTGTAGTAGATAGGCTTTAAGCCCAATAAATTATGACCCTTGTGTAGTAGATAGGCTTTAAACCCAGTAAATCATGACCTTCATGAAGTAGATAGGTTTTGAACTCAATGAAGCAATTATGACTTGTGTAGTAGATAGGCTTTAAACCCAATAAATCATGACCTTCGTGTAGTAGATAGGCTTTAAGCCCAATAAATCCATCATAACCGTGTAATAAGCTTTTAACTCGGGAAATCACTCATGACCTTTGTGTACCCCTCAAGGAAGGTTCCTTGATGTTGGTGAGGGGCTCTTGATTTAGGGAATTGGATCTGTGCTCCAGTTCCCCGAATTAAGCCTGAATGCCTTCCACATCCCCCCAGGCGCTGTATAATCCTCCGGGTTTAGCGCTTCCCCCTTGATTATAATAAAAATGTGTAGTAGATGGCTTTAAACCCAATAAATCATGACCTGTGTGTAGTAGATAGGCTTTAAACCCAATAAATAAATCATGACCTTTGTGTAGTAGATGGGCTTTAAACTCAATAAATAAATCATGGCCTTTGTGTAGTAGATGGGCTTTAAACCCAATAAATCAATAATGACCTTCGTGTAATAAGCTTTTAACTCTGGGAATCACTCATGACCTTTGTGTAGTAGTAGGCTTTAAACCCAATAAATCATGACTTGATTAGTAGATAGGCTTTAAACCCAATAAATTATTAGTGACTTGTGTAGTAGGCTTTAAACCCAATAAATAAATCATGACCTTTGTGTAGTAGATAGGCTTTAAACCCAATAAATCATGACCTTTGTGTAGTAGATAGGCTTTAAACCCAATAAATAAATCATGACCTTTGTGTAGTAGATAGGCTTTAAACCCAATAAATCATGACCTTTGTGTAGTAGATAGGCTTTAAACCCAATAAATAAATCATGACCTTTGTGTAGTAGATGGGCTTTAAACTCAATAAATAAATCATGGCCTTTGTGTAGTAGATGGGCTTTAAACCCAATAAATCATGCCCTTTGTGTAGTAGATAGGCTTTAAACCCAATAAATAAATTATAACCTTTGTATAGTAGATAGGCTTTAAACTCAATAAATCATGACCATGTAGTAGATAGGCTTTAAACCCAATCCATCAATGGTGTTTGCAGTACATTCCATTAAAATATAAAGTTGTTATACAGTGGACCCCGACTTGCAATATTAATCAGTTCCTGAGAGCACATTGTAAGACGAAATTATAGTAAGTCAAATTAATTCTCCCCATAAGAAATAAAGGAAATCAAATTAATCCATTCAAGACACCCAAAAGTATGAACAAAAAATTTTACCACATGAAACATACATTTTCCTAAACACAAAAAGGAGGATACATGCACAATATATATTGTACTTGTACTAGTTGTGATGAATGGTTTTAAAAAAAACCGACAAGTTGAAGATTGAGACACTTATACAGCATATGGGAATCTTTATTCAGGAAACGTTTCGCCACACAGTGGCTTCATCAGTCCAATACAAAGAGGAAGGCGTAAGGAGAGGAGGAGTATGAGGTAATCAGTCCCTCAGCCTGGAGTCGATGTGTTCAGTCCATCAATCTTGTAGGATTGATTGACTGAACACATCCTACAAGATTGATGGACTGAACACATCGACTCCAGGCTGAGGGACTGATTACCTCATACTCCTCTCCTTACGCCTTCCTCTTTGTATTGGACTGATGAAGCCACTGTGTGGCGAAACGTTTCCTGAATAAAGATTCCCATATGCTGTATAAGTGTCTCAATCTTCAACTTGTACTAGTCTACTGAATGAAGAATAAATGACACCTTTATCAATAATGTAGTGATGACTGTCCTGGGAGTGCCTTTTCCTCCTGAGTAATGTAGGTCCTGTTTGGCATTTTCTTCCAGAACAGGCCTTATCACACTGTGTATGCCACTACGATTCTTAAATCTCTCAAACCAACCTTTGCTGGCCTTAAATTCGCCAATATGAGCACTAGTTCCAGGCATTTTTTCCTGTTCACCTGGGCGTTAGTCTGGTGTGGGTCGCATCCTGGGGGACAAGATTAAGGACCCCAATGGAAATAAGTTAGTCCTCGATGACACACTGACTGACTTGCATTATCATGGGTGGCTAACCCTCTGGGGTTAATTGTTTCTCGGTATTCTCGATAAGCCACACCAATAACAGTCTCTCCACATATTCGAGTAGTACAGCTGACCGTGGTACGATAGTATTTCTCACCCTTTTTACCACAGGGTTGGCACTAGAAGCTTTCTTTGGGCCCATGGTGGCCTTTTTAGCAGTTACAAGCACTAACCATGCAACTGTGTCTGCCCCGGCTTGTAAACAATGTCACACAAGCTCAGCTGAGGCGTTTAGGCCAGACAGACGCGTGGATGCTACGGGATGAATGATGCAAGTTTTTCAACGCATGTTGGAGTCGAATTTTTATGCTGACAAACATCATAAGTCGGTTTTAACATGCATTACATTGAGGACATCGTAAGTCCGGGGTCCACTGTATATGAAATATTAATAATATTCTCATTGCTAATCTTAAAAATTTTTTATATATATTTCTTAGGTTTGACACTTCTTTATATAATAGGTATAATATGTAATAGTAATATTTCTTTTCTGATTAGTAATATTGTAATTAGTACAGTGGACCCCCGAATTTCATGATTAATCCATTCCAGAGAGTCTGCTGAAAGTTGAAATTCATGAATGGCGAAACCATTTTCCCCATAAGAAAGAATGAAAATCTAATTAATTCATTCCAGACACCCAAAAATATTAAAAATATATTTTTTTCAAATTAAATAGATTTACATACAGAAAACAGTGAGAAATCAAGTACACATATACACCTACCATCCGACATACGACCTGCTCGACATACGTCCACTCGACTTAGGACAGTGCATCTGGCAGCTGGGCTGGGCCGGCTGATGCACACCACTGTACAATATTTGACAATACTCGCGGCGGCAATGCGTCATGCAGGCAGCATCAGTTTGAGTAACCCTGTCCTGTCAGCAGCATCATACTGTATTAACTGGACAAAAAATTTCACCATGGCCCCTAAGATGAAGTCTGTGGCAAGAAAGGCTCTTACTCTCGAACTCTCTATTTGTTTTCACTGTTGCATATAAACCTGTCTGTATCTGTCTGCCTATATATGTGTGTGTGTTTATCTGTCTACCTGTGTGTCTTTCCATCTACCTGTGTGTCTGTCTTTGTCTACCTGTGTGTGTCTTTGTCTACCTGTGAGTGTCTTTCTGTCTACCTGTGTGTCTTGTCTGTCTACCTGTGTGTGTCTACCTGAGTGTCTGTCTACCTGTGTCTTTCTGTCTGCTTGTCTGTCTCAGCGCCACTCATTAAGAGTGTAATTGGTCTTGAAGATGCCATATTAATAATGATAATAACACAATAATCACTGAGGAACATTAAATGTGTATAAAACATTGATATAGACATTTTGCTTAATCCATCTATGATTTCTTTTTCAATATTATATAATGAACATGCTACATAACATATAAACATATAAATTAACAAATATGAGATGTTTTTCTGGTCGGCTTGACAGAGTGAACAGGAATCATTCTGTCGGGCTGGTAACATCAACAACAACGTTTGTTTACATAACTTGCCAACCTTCTACACACTCATTTGTTTATTCATTTAATCTTGTTTACTCGCCTCTCACTCTGGAGTTTACCTGGAGAGAGTTCCGGGGGTCAACGCCCCCGCGGCCCGGTCTGTGACCAGGTCTCCTGGTTGATCAGAGCCTGATCAACCAGGTTGTTGCTGCTGGCTGCACGCAAACCAACGTACGAGCCACAGCCCGGCTGGTCAGGAACCGACTTTAGGTGCTTGTCCAGTGCCAGCTTGAAGACTGCCAGGGGTCTGTTGGTAATCCCCCTTATGTATGCTGGGAGGCAGTTGAACAGTCTCGGGCCCCTGACACTTATTATATGGTCTCTTAACGTGCTAGTGACACCCCTGCTTTTCATTGGGGGGATGTTGCATCGTCTGCCAAGTCTTTTGCTTTCGTAGTGAGTGATTTTCGTGTGCAAGTTCGGTACTAGAGTCTCTAGGATTTTCCAGGTGTATATAATCATGTATCTCTTTCGCCTGCATTCCAGGGAATACAGGTTTAGGAACCTCAAGCGCTCCCAGTAATTGAGGTGTTTTATCTCCCTTATGCGCGCCGTGAAAGGGTTTTCTGTACATTTTCTAGGTCAGCAGTTTCACCTGCCTTGAAAGGTGCTGTTAGTCTGCAGCAATATTCCAGCCTAGATAGAACAAGTGACCTGAAGAGTGTCATCATGGATTTGGCCTCCCTAGTTTTGAAGGTTCTCATTAACCATCCTGTCATTTTTCTAGCAGATGCGATTGATACAATGTTATGGTCCTTGAAGGTGAGATCCTCCGACATGATCACTCCCAGGTCTTTGACGTTGGTGTTTCGCTCCATTTTGTGGCCAGAATTTGTTTTGTACTCTGATGAAGATTTAATTTCCTCGTGTTTACCATATCTGAGTAATTGAAATTTCTCATCGTTGAACTTCATATTGTTTTCTGCAGCCCACTGAAAGATTTGGTTGATGTCCGCCTGGAGCCTTGCAGTGTCTGCAATGGAAGACACTGTCATGCAGATTCGGGTGTCATCTGCAAAGGAAGACACTGTGCTGTGGCTGACAACCTTGTCTATGTCGGATATGAGGATGAGGAACAAGATGGGAGCGAGTACTGTGCGAGTACTTCAGATATTTTAAGGTAAGTAATGAGTGGACGCAATTATTATATTATAGTTTAATACTAATAATATTAATATTAGTACATATGTATTATTGTAATAATAATAATAATTATTATTATTAATATTATTAATTTAGGGCACTGGAGCACAGATCCACTGTATAGCACTTTGTCTGGATTATTTGGGTTATCCTAGGTAATTTATACTATGTATGATAACTTTACTTACATGTACCTGTGAGAGAGAGAGAGAGAGCCACATTCAGTCAGCCAATCACCCACCCGGCTTCCCACCCACCCGGCCAGCCAGCCAGCTACATATTACACATGTTCCAGAGTTGTTTCTCTTTACTTAGGGTTTAGGTTATACTACATTCTGGCAGGATGACACTACCAGTTGTATTCTCCCATTCCACTGTGTCGACAATACATAAAGATAACAGTAACATATGATACTGTATGGGATGTAAAATTTACAATACAGTTCACTACCATGTATACATTATATACAGTAAATAAATAATTAAAATATAATAGAAGTAAATTATGGTAAAAAAAATGAAATAATGATTGTACATTACAGTATTATGTAGGTAGTTTATATAGGAAAAGTTTGACATTATGCCCTACCCAGTATGTCGGCAATTTTCAAAGGTTCGACTTAGGTCCATTTTGGCTTACGACCGGTTGGTTGGAACCAAGCTTAGTCGTAAGTCGGATGGTAGGTGTATAAAATATTACTTACCACTTCTGGGTGGATGGAAGATGGGAGGAAGGGAGAGGAAGAAGGTACACTATTGTTTGGAAGGGGAATCCCCTTCCATAAAGACTTCAGGTACCAAGTCCTTTTCCAGGGTTACTTCACTTTGTTTTTTAATGGCACTGCGACCAGCTTGTCACTGGACCCCTGTTGCACAAAATATCTGTCCAGAGAGCTCTGTTTCTGGCATGTCTTGGAAACATCCCTAAAATGGGACACAACATTGTCTTTGTACATGTTGCCAACACAGCCTGCAACAGCTTTGTCAGGGTGAAGTTCATCCATAAGGGTTTGCACTTCAATCCACTTAACACAAATGTCCTTAATCTTTGAAGAAGGCAGCTTCCTCCATCTCTATTCCTCCTCTGAAGAAAATTCCTGCGCTGTGGTCTGTTGGTGTTGCAGATGAAGCTCTTGCAGTTCTGTAGTGGTTAGCCCTTCATTGTGGTCCTCCATCAACTCTTCCACATCCTCGAAACTCACATCCAACCCTATGGAATTCCCCAATGCCACAATACTTTCCACAACTGGCATAGGCTCCTCAGGGTTAGCCTCAAACCTTTCAGATTCCTTCTTGTACACATTCAGGTCACAATTTTCTCCAAGCAGAGTTCAAAGTCCTGCAAGTCACTCCCTCCCAAGCCTTACCCGAAAGGTTTATGCAGTGGGAGATATTGAAGTGATCTTTCCGGAAAACTCTTAGGGTCAATTCAGTGTCTGAGGTCACTTCACAGCACTTTTCAAACAATGCTTTGGTGTACATTTTTTCGAAGTTTGAAATGACCTCCTGGTCCATGGGCTGGAGGAGAGGAGAGTGGTATTAGGGAGCAAAAACTCACTGTGATGAAACTAAACTCCTGCACCATTTGCTCTTCAAAGTCTGGAGGATGAAATGGAGCATTGTCCATTACCAGGAGGCACTTGACTTCCAATTTATTTTCCAGGAGGTATTTCTTCACACTGGGGTCAAACACTTCATTGAACCAATCGAGGAAAATGTCCCTCGTGACCCATACCTTACTGTTAGCCTTCCACATCCTCTAAATTAGCCTTGGTGACCCAGTTTTTTTGAAAACACTGGGATTTTCAGAGTGATACACAGTAAAGGCTTTACTTTGCAATCCCTGCTAGCACTACTAGAAAACATGAGAGCTAGCCTGTCTTTCATAGGCTTGTGTCCTGGCAATGCTGTTTCCTCCTTTGTGATGTAGGTCCTCTTTGGCATTTTCTTCCAAAACGGGCCTGTTTCGTCACAATTGAATACCTGTTGGGGTTTCAATTGTTCAGTCTCTGTACCCCTTTAATTCCTGAAAATATTTTTCAGCCGCTTTTTTGTCAGAACTGGCAGCCTCGCCATTCCTTACCACACCGTGTATGCCACTGCTTAAATCTCAAACCCGCCTTTACTGGCCTTAAAATCACAAACAGCATTTGTTGCAGGCATTCTTTTTACGAGATCATCATGCAACTGCCTTACCTTATCACAAATTATTGACTGCATAACACTATCTCCTGCTAACTGTGTTTTTGGGTAATCCACACCAACAATATCCTCTCCACTTCGAGGATTTGAAATCTCTCGTTTTTGTCAGCATGTCTACCCCTTTTGCAACAACAGCTTCCTTGATTTCTTTTCCCTTCGCCATGATCGAAGTGATGGTTGAATGGTGTTTGCCATACATCCAAACAAGCTCTGAAACATGCACTCCACTTTCATATTTTTCAATTTCTTTCTTTCTTTAATTCAGTTGTGTTCCTCAATTTCTTTACCAAAGGGCTGGCGTTAGCTTTCTTTGGGCCCATGGCGACTTCTTTAGCAGTTGCAAGCACAAAAAAAAATGGATTATTATGAAATGTATCATATGAACCCTTGGGGTGATGGTCACTCTGATAAACATTGCCACAGAGTGTGAATGGTGCGGAAGTCTGGCTTTGTGTGCGCGTTGACGCTGGGATGCCGTTTGGATGCATACCAGATGTTTGCCGAATCACGAGGTCAGTCATGAACCGCGAGGCTATATTTTGCCGAAAGAATTGCTTAAAGTCGGATTTCACGAAAGTTGTGGCTACCGAAAGGCGGGGGTCCACTGTACTAGTCTTTTTATTAGTATTATTGACATAATTAGTATTAAAAAATTAATTTGTTGCCAGTAGGCTATAACCTAATATATTAAGCCTACCAGTTACTGCCTCGTGAGGTCATTTACAATTGTTAAGATAAGATTTCGTTCGGATTTTTAACTCTGGATGGTTAGCCACCCAGGATAATCCAAGAAAGGCAGTGCATCTTCGAGGACTGTCTTATTTCCATTGTCCTCAATTTTGTCTCCTCAGGATGCGACCCACACCAGTCGACTAACACCCAGGTACCTACTTGCTGGTAGGTGAACAGGACAACAGGTGTAAGAAAACATGTCAATGCTTCTACCCCGCCAGGAATCGAACCTGGGCCCTCCATGTGTAAAGCGAGAGCTTTGCCATGGGGGTTACTATTTTTTTTATAGTAAACCAGTAGGTGGCATACAATGGGAATTAATGATCTATTGCAATGGACTATTGATTCAGTTCCTTGAATCAAGAGCCCTTCACTAGCATTAAGGAACTCTCCCTTTAACCCGTAAATGGTCCAAGCAGATCTACATTCACACGTGTAGTGCTACAAAAGTAGATTACGTTTTTTTTTACACATTTTCAAATGTAAAAAAACAAAAAGTAGATCTACTTTTTTTTGCATACTTTCAAATGTTGAAAAAACGTATACACCTACCATCCGACTTACGACCGAGTTTGGTTCCGAGAAACCGGTCGTAAGTCGAAATGGTCGTAAGTCGAACTTTACTACTGAATATCAACAAAACATCTTTTTAATGACTTTATTTTATTGTTTTATTTTGGTATTTCATGTTTTACTTTACTTTTTATGCTGTTAGTACTGTATTTTATACTGTAAGGTTTAGGATAAACACTGTGTACTACACAAATAGTTGTTTATTTCCCAGAAATTTGGCATAAAAAACACGGTCGTAAGTCCAGTGGTCGTAAGTCGGATGGTAGGTGTATATACGTTTGGACCGTTTACGGGTTAAAAGGAGTAAATCAGATTTGACTTACAAGATTGTTTTACTAAATTTGAATTTACAGTGGACTCTCAGATTATGACATTAATCTATTCCAGAGTGTGTCTTTAACCGAATCTGTCATAATCTGAATTAATTTTCCCCATAAGAAATAATGGAAATCCAGTTAATCTGTTCCAGACACCCAAAAGTATTAAACAAAATAATTTTTTTCACATGAAATAATAATAATAATAATTTTATTTCTTTGTAAAGGTTACAATGTGTAATTACAATTTTGATTTGCTAAGTACAGGTCCTCCATCACAAATCCGGCATCATTGGGACCTGTAGTGTGCCTGATTACTGAGTTTGCCAAATTACAGAGTGGTTAGGTTAGAATACACACAATAAAATTAACCAACTTGGCTTGCACAATTCATTGAACATCGGCAAAAATTGAACATTTCCGCTACTTCAAGCTCAATTTCAAGGTACTTTTCATCATGAAAGCACTCAAAATCATGTCTATTTCTGTAATATATCTTCCATTCTATCAAATGAGTTAAAAAAAAATGAGAATACAACCATAAAAACCATATGAAAATATGCTGCAAAGAGGCAGCTAATGGCTGAGAAGTTAACTCCCTTATTTACCGTCCGTCTTTTTTATTTTTGGTGTACGTTAAGAAGCATCTTTCCATCATCAAAAAACCAAGAAAAAAAAAAATATTTACCAAAAATCATATAGGGCAAGCCCAAGCCAGGTACTGGAAACAAGTCACTTTGTCTGACTTTTCTGGGTTATCCTAGGTTCTCTATACATACACTGATATATATGATAATCTATGTAACTGTATTTGTGTATACCTGAATAAACTTATTTACTTCTAGTCTGTCAACTGAGTACAAGAAAGCGCCCATTCACTTATTTCAACTACCCAATAAAGTGGTCAGAAATTGGCAATTTGGCCGATTTCACACAAATTTCAACAGATGCCAATTTCAAAATAGGATCCAAAATAAACAATGCAGACATTCCTGGCACTAAAATAACATTTTCTCTGTTCATTAGTCACGGCTACAGGCCCCTCTTATATTACTCTTGCTTACCATTTGGAATTTTTATTCACAAAAAAATAGAAGATTTACTGTTATGCAGACTGCTGCATTATTGTAATTGTATAAATAATGTCGAGCCATTCTTGACTCCATACTGGAATTTGGACTGGCGGGCAGACAGGTATTGGACGGTGACGTCATTTGTTTACTCTTGAGCTTCGCTAAAGAATAGAACATTTTTGCTACTGTGAGCGCAATTTCAAGGTACTTTTCGTCATGAAAGCAATCAAAATCATATCTATTTCTGTAATATATCTTTCATTCTATCAAATGAGACCGAAAAAATGAGAATATAACCATAACAACCATACAAAAATATACCGCTAAGCGGCTGCTAATGGCTGAGAAGTGAACTCCGCTATTTATAGTCTGATTTCTTTCATTTTTGGTGTATGCGAAGAAGTATCTTTCCATCATACATTGCCCAAGTTTGAATAAGATAACCCAACAAACAACTGAGAAAATAATATAATAATAACAATATCTTTATTTACTACATGTACATGTACAAGGTATACAGGCCTAGCTGACATCAGTGACATACTACTATATAGAAAGCCGCTTGTTATGCTGAGTATTTCAAGAAAATTAGGTCAGTGTCCCAGGATAACACCCACACTAGTCGACTAACACCCAGGTACCCATTTACTGATGGGTAAACATAGACAACAGGTGTAAAGAAACACACCTAATGTTTCTACCCTGGCTGGGAATCGAATATTTACCAAAAATCATATATGGCCAACCCAAGCCAGGTACTAAAAATAAGCCATGCTGACTTTTTTGGGCTATCCTAGGTTCTCTACACATGCTGCTGTGTGTCTTAATCTATATAGAGAAAATAACTTCTTTGTATAAAGTTTATGGTGCAGTACGAGTGTATATCACAGTAAGCCCTGTGCTATACTCAGTTTTCTCTAATATAAGCCCTCAAGACAGGGATAGGGGAATGGTACTTGTATACCATATATATGCCCTATGTGTATTGTATACCATATCCTCTTCATACCTCCATCAAACTGCTCGGTGTTATGACAAATACATTCTGGAGTAATTAACATGTTTTATGTTATTTATATTGTTTCTTATGTCATATTAGATCAATTGTGATAGGCAAATAAGCTGTAGTGTTGATATTAGCGTAATAATAAAGCATATTCTCCTGCTTCATGAGACTGAGCTCATGACAACCAACAGTGGCTTCAAAGCCACCTTATCTTTAATGGATAATGTACTGTGTAGGTGCTTTACATAATGAGAAGCATTTCTTTTATTCATTGGAACCATGGCTAGGGCTAAAAGTAAGCAGGTTAAAACAATAAATGGAGAAAAAGAAATTGGAATGACTTATGCAGTAAGTAGCGCCACCAAACAGCACCAGCAGGTTGGTGTGGCGACCCTGGAAATTTGAAATTATGCTAGCCAAAATTAGTGCCGAATAACTGAAGGAACCGAATAACCGATTGCCGGATTTGTGATGTCAGACCTGTAATTAGCTTATTTCCACAGTGCATTTTAAAATCCAAAATATGTTGTCTGAAGCAACTTTTTTTTTTCCTTATTTGGTTTTAATTAGGCTATTAAAAAATCCATTAAAAAATATGCTGCTCCTTCCTCAAAATTCATACAGTATTTTGTATTTTTTTTAACACATCGGCCGTTTCCCACTGAGACAGTGACCCAGAAAAGAAGAAACACATTAATCATCATTCTCTCCTTAGTAGTGATGGTGAATTAAGTCATGATGGTGAAGGTGTTAGGAATCATGATGGTGAGGGTGTTAGGAATCATGATGGTGAGGGTGTTAGGAATCATGATGGTAAGGGTGTTAGGAATATTGATGGGCTATTGAGCATGTTAGTTTGTGGTGGCACAGCACACCTTCTCTAGTGTCACCCCTTGATGCTGGTAAGGGGCTCTTGATCTATGGAATTGTATCTGTGCTCCAGTTCCCTAAATTGACTACCTTCCATCCCCCCCCCCCCCACACACACACACAGTGTAATCTTACTTGGAGTTTATGTTTACCTGGAGAGAGTTTCGGGGGTCAAAGCCCCTGCAGCCCGGTCTGTGACCAGGCCTCATGGTGGACCAGAGCCTGATCAACCAGGCTGTTACTGCTGGCTGCACGCAATCCAACGTACGAGCCACAGCCCAGCGGGTCAGGTACCGACTTTAGGTGCTTGTCCAGTGCCTGCTTGACGACAGCCAGGGGTCTATTGGTAATCCCTCTTATGTATGCTGGGAGGCAGTTGAACAGTCCTGGGCCCCTGACACTTATTGTATTGTCTCTTAACGTGCTAGTGACACCCCTGCTTTTCATTGGGGGATGTTGCATCATCTGCCGAGTCTTTAGCTTTCGTTGTGAGTGATTTTCATGTGCAAGTTCGGTACTAGTCCCTCTAGGATTTTCCAGGTGTATATAATCATCTCTCTCGCCTGCGTTCCAGGGAGTACAGGTTTAGGAACTTCAACCTTTTGCCCCCCTTTTCCCAACCTAACCCTTGGGCACGACCTACTTCCACATTGTACAAATGTGACACCACCTACGACTGCTGCACCTCTCCTGCCTACGGTTTATTACCTGGAGTTTACCTGGAGAGAGTTTCGGGGGTCAACGCCCCCGCGGCCCGGTCTGTGACCAGGCCTCCTGGTGGATCAGCGCCTGATCAACCAGGCTGTTGCTGCTGGCTGCACGCAAACCAACGTACGAGCCACAGCCCGGCTGATCAGGAACTGACTTTAGGTGCTTGTCCAGTGCCAGCTTGAAGACTGCCAGGGGTCTGTTGGTAATCCCCCTTATGTGTGCTGGGAGGCAGTTGAACAGTCTCGGGCCCCTGACACTTATTGTATGGTCTCTTAACGTGCTAGTGACACCCCTGCTTTTCATTGGGGGGATGGTGCATCGTCTGCCAAGTCTTTTGCTTTCGTAGTGAGTGATTTTCGTGTGCAAGTTCGGTACTAGTCCCTCTACTAGTCCCTTTTCCGCACATATGCCGCATTCTATTCAAGATTGATGAACTGACCATATCGACTCGAGGTTGAGGGACTGATTACCTCATTCTCCTCCTGTTCTTCATGTTACTTCTTTGTATGGACTGATGAAGCCACTGTGTGGCAAAACGTTTCCTCAATAAAGATACCCCCTAAAGTCGGTACCTGACCAGCCGGGTTGTGGCTTGTACGTTGGATTGCGTGCAGCCAGCAGTAACAGCCTGGTTGATCAGGCTCTGATCCACCAGGAGGCCTGGTTACAGACCGGGCCACAGGGGCATTGACCCCTGGAACTCTCTCCAGGTAAACTCCAGGTAAACCCAAGAGTTGCACATGTGTCTAATTTATCAACTGTGCCGGTTCTCTGAACCATTCATCTACAATCCTGTGCTACTTATGTATTTCCAGTATTTACCTTTTGGTAGGCTTCATATTAGTCAAGTGAAATGGGCATTTTATCATTCCAGAAATCTGAACTTCACATCCCCAGCAAGATATTTGAAGTTCACAACCCCAGTAAGATATTTGAACTTCACAACCCCAGTAAGATAATTGAACTTCTCAACCTCAGCAAGATATTTGAACTTCTCAACCCCTGGATGATTTCAGTAGTAACCTCATAACACTTATTTTGGGCAAGTAGTTAGTTAAACCAAGACAACTAACATGAAGTAAGTTAATATTTCTTCATGTATTCCTTGCTGTGTACTTTACCTTCTGTTATATTTATTTTATATAAAACTGGTGTTTATAAGATTTATATTTTGGGAGCATGTTTGTGTGTGAGTGTTGCTCATACCTGCATGCTGCTCATACCAGGATGCTACCCCTGGGTGCTGCACATACCCGGGTGCTACACCTGGGTGCTGCTCATACCTGGGCTGTTTATACCTGGGTGCTGCTCATATCCAGGTGCTACACCTGGGTGCTGCTCATACCTGGGTGCTGCTCACACCTGGGTGCTGCTCACACCTGGGTAGCACTTGGGCTATCAGCCTGGGTAGCATGGGCACTATCAGCCTGGGTAGTGCTTGGGCTATTATCAGCCTGGGTAGCACTTGGGCTATCAGCCTGGGTAGCACTTGGGCTATCAGCCTGGGTAGCACTTGAGCTATCAGCCTGGGTAGCACTGGGGCACTATCAGCCTGGGTAGTGCTTGGGCTATTATCAGCCTGGGTAGCACTTGGGCTATTATCAGCCTGGGTAGCACTTGGGCTATTATCAGCCTGGGTAGCACTGGGGCACTATCAGCCTGGGTAGCACTGGGGCACTATCAGCCTGGGTAGCACTGGGGCACTATCAGCCTGGGTAGCACTGGGGCACTATCAGCCTGGGTAGCACTGGGGCACTATCAGCCTGGGTAGCACTGGGGCACTATCAGCCTGAGGCTACTGTCACCCTAGGTAGTACTGTCCTGCTTAATGTATGAAACTGCCTCTTGCAATTATTTAAGCTGCCAACCATATTGTTTTAAACCATTTTATACTGCCAAGCGTTTTATATCATCTAATGTTTTATACCTTCTAATGTTTTATATCTTCTAATGTTTTATATCTTCTAATGTTTTATATCTAATGTTTTATATCTTCTAATGTTTTATATCTTTTAATATTTTATATCTAATGATTTATATCTTCTAATGTTTTATATCTTCTAATGATTTATACCTTCTAATGTTTTATATCTTCTAATGTTTTATATCTTCTAATGATTTATACCTTCTAATGTTTTATATCTTCTAATGTTTTATATCTTTTAATATTTTATATCTTATGATTTATACCTTCTAATGATTTATACCTTCTAATGTTTTATATCTTCTAATGTTTTATATCTAATGTTTTATACCTTCTAATGTTTTATACCTAATGTTTTATATCTTCTAATATTTTATATCTAATAATGTTTTATATCTGTTTTATATTTTAATGTTTTATATCTGTTTTATACCTTCTTATGTTTTATATCTTCTGATTGCTTTATACCTTCTAATGTTTATATTTTGTTTTATACCATCTAATGTTTTATATTTTAATGTTTTATTTCTAATGTTTTATACCCAATGTTTTATACATTCTAATGTTTATATTTTCTGTTTTATATATATATATGTTTCATGTATTTTATGTTTTAGATTTATGTTTTATGTTTTATATTTATATTTCTAATGTTTTATATTTATATTTTTAATGTTTCATATTTATATTTCCTAATGTTTCATATTTATATTTCCTAATGTTTCATATTTATATTTCCTAATGTTTCTTATTAATAATGTTTTTTTGTTTTATCTTACAATGTTTTATACCTGTTTTATATTTTAATGTTTTATAGATTCTAATGTTTTATGTCTACGTTTATATCCTAATGTTTTACATATTTATTTTCTTATATTTTATATCCTATTACGTATATACATTTTCTAATGTTTTATATCTTCTGTTTTATACCTAATGTTTTATATCATCTAATGTTATTTACCTTATGTATACCTAATGTTTTATATGTGCTTTCAAATTTTTTTTTGACTTGCATTGGTGTATTAATGCAGTTTAATGTTTGTTGCAAATTCTTTTTCAAAAATTTACGTTGCTCTGTAATTAACCTGGCACTTAAAAACCACCAGTCAACACTGCAGTAACCACCACTACCACAATCACCAACAATCTGTAACACTTCAATACAACAACAGTGTTTTTTTTTTTTTTCCCCCACTTAGATTGTTTTATACAGATGTGTTCTCAGGTAATCAGCTTGACAGGTAATTTGTGTCCACACATTTCAACGGCAACTTGACAGAGGTAACTCCAGGTGAGTTTTTTTAAACTCAAATACAGAATTTTAGAAGTAATTTCAATGTACATGGTGCATGAGGCTACCGAAACTAGGTATTTTTTTTATATGCAATGATGGAGCAATTGATTCGCTGATCTCGTATTTTTAGTATGTTTAGCTTCCTGTTCAAAATTCGTACATCTTGTAACTTTAATGGTAATTCCAAAATTATTGTATCAGTTTGTGTTTAAAATATTTAATGTGGGAAGTGGTAAAGGCTCGATACTCTTGTCTATGATACTCTTGTCTATCATGAGGCGGAAGAGTTGCCTAATTGTATAAAGACGTACATCTAATGCTGATACATTTTTCATGGAGTTCAGTTTTATGGGCTGGAATGTTCAACACGCTTATTAAATTTTTGCAGTTGCTAAGCTGCAGTGCAAGATTGTGTGGAATACAAAAATATTTTGCAGTGTTTTGTACAAGGTTACTTGCTGAAAAGCCAGGAATGCAGTATAATGTAAAGTCAGGAATGCAGTTTAATGTAAAGCCAGGAATGCAGTATAATGTAAAGACAGAGGCATACCAGTTTGTCATAAAATAATTATTGTGAAATAATTGAATGCACTTTGTAAGTTCTGAATGTGAATTTTCAGGAGAGGTTTTTGACTTTGATAATATCAAATGTTAATTATTTTAACTGGCAATGATCATATTTTATTTGTGGTAGAAATTTTTTTTTTTTTTCTCTTAAGTTGCCAAGAATACTGATCTATGATAAAAGAAATTTAATGTTTCTTTTGAAACTAGTAATAAACCTAGTCTAAAGTTTTGAAACCAGGAACGACCATGGTCTATTGTAAAACTAGGTGTGAACCTAGTCTGCTAGTTTTGTAACTGGGGTGAACTTGGTGTATTAGTTGTGAAACGGAGTGAACCTAGTATCCTAGTTTTGTAACTAGAAGTGAACCTAGTCTATTGTGAAACTAGGAATGAACTTTCTTATTTGTGAAACTAGTACAAATGTATGTAGTAAGGAAACTAGGAATGTACCTAGTATGTTAAAAAACTAGGAATGGAGCTAGAATGTTATGAAATTAGGAATGGTGTTGGAGGACGGACCCTAGTCCACTGGTTAATGAGGATGAATGTTAGTCTAGTGGTGCAGGACGATGGACCCTAGTCCACTGGTATTGCAGGGTGGATCCTAGTCCACTGGTGTTCGAGGGTGGGCCCTAGGCCACTGGGTTTGGAGGGTGGATCCTAGTCCACTGGTGTTCGAGGGTGGGCCCTAGGCCACTGGGTTTGGAGGGCAGACCCTAGTTCACTGCTGTTGGAGGATGAATCATAGTTCACTGCTTTTAGAGGGTGGATCCTGGTCCACTGGTGTTGGAGGGTGGATCCTAGTCTGCTGGTTTTGGAGGGTGGATCCTTGTCCACTGGTTTTGGAGGGTGGATCCTAGTCCACTGGTGTTGGAGGATGGACTCTAGTCCACTGGTGTTGGAGGATGGACTCTAGTCCACTGGTTTTGGATGGTGGAGCCTAGTCAACTGATTTTGGAGGGTGGATCCTAGTCCACTGGTTTTGGAGGGTGGATCCTAGTCTACTGGTTTTGGAGGGTGGATCCTAGTCTACTGCTTTTGGAGGGTTTATCCTATTCTACTGATGGAGGATGGACCCTAGTCCCCTTATGTTGGAGGGTGGACCCTAGCTCATAGGTTTTGGAGGGTGGATCCTAGTCAACTGCTGTTGGAGGGTGGACCCTAGTCCACTGGTTTTTGGGGGTTTATCCTAATTCCTTTGTGGAGAATGGACCCTGGTCCACTGCTTTCGGAGGGTGGATCCTAGTCCATTGGTTTTTGGGGGTTTATCCTAGTTCCTTTGTGGAGAATGGACCCTAGTCCACTGGCTTTGGAGGGTGGAACCTAGTCCACTGGTGTTGGACGATGGACCCTAGTTCACTAGTGTTGGAGGATGGAACCTAGTCCACTGGTGTTGGAGGATGGGCTCTAGTCCACTGGTTTTGGAGGGTGGATCCTAGTCCACTGGTGTTGGAGGGTGCATCCTAGTCCACTGGTGTTAAGGGTGGATCCTAGCCCACTGGTGTTGGAGGATGGATCCTAGTTCACTGGTGTTGGATGAACTCTGGTCCACTGGTGTTGGAGGGTGGATCCTAGTCCACTGGTGTTGGAGGGCGGACCCTAGTCCACTGGTTTTGGGGGGTTTATCCTAGTTCCTTTGTGGAGAATAGACCCTAATCCACTGGTGTTGGAGAGTGGATCCTAGTCAACTGCTGTTGGAGGGTGGACCCTAGTCCACTGGTGTTATATGAACTTTAGTCCACTGGTGTTGGAGGATGGACTCTAGTCCACTGGTTTTGGAGGGTGGATCCTAGTCCACTGGTGTTGGATGAACTTTAGTCCACTGGTGTTGGAGGGTGGACCCTAGTCCAATGGTGTTGGAGGGTGGATCCTAGTCCACTGGTGTTGGAAGGTGGATCCTAGTCCACTGGTTTTTAAATGTGGATCCTACTCCACTGGTGTTGGAGGGTGGAGCCTAGTCCATTGGTTTTGGAGAATGGATACTAGTCCACTGGTGTTGGAGGATGGATCCTAGTCCACTGGTGTTGGAGGGTGGATCCTAGTCCACTGGTGTTGGAGGGTGGATACTAGTCCACTGGTGTTGGAGGTGGATCCTAGTCCACTGGTGTTGGAGGGTGGACCCTAGTCCACTGGTGTTGGAGGGTGGATCCTAGTCCACTGGTGTTGGAGGGTGGATCCTAGTCCACTGGTGTTGGAGGGTGGATCCTAGTCCACTGGTGTTGGAGGGTGGATACTAGTCCACTGGTGTTGGAGGGTGGATCCTAGTCCACTGGTGATGGAGGGTGGACCCTAGTCCACTGGTGTTGGAGGGTGGAGTATACTCCACTGGTGTTGGAGGGCGGATACTAGTCCAATGGTTTTGAATGGTGGATCCTAGTCCACTGGTGTTGGAGGATGGATCCTAGTCCACTGGTTTTGAATGGTGGATCCTAGTCAACTGGTTTTGGAGGATGGATCCTAGTCCACTGGTGTTGGAAGGTGGATCCTAGTCCGCTGGTGTTGGAGGGTGGATCCTAGTCCACTGGTTTTGGAGGGTGGATACTAGTCCACTGGCTTTGGAGGATGGATCCTAGTCCACTGGCTTTGGATGGTGGATCCTGGTCAACTGGTTTTGGATGGCGGATCCTAGTCCACTGGTTTTTGAGGGTGGATCCTAGTCTGCTGGTTTTGGAGGATGGACTCTAGTCCACTGCTTTTGGAGGGTTTATTCTAGTCTACTGGTGTTGGAGGATGGACCCTAGTCCCTTTATGTTGGAGGGTGGACCCTAGTCCACAGGTTTTTGAGGGTGGATCCTAGTCAACTGCTGTTGGAGGGTGGACCCTAGTCCACTGTTATTTGAGGATGGACCTTAGTCCACTGGTGTTGGAGGGTGGATCCTAGTCCACTGGTGTTGGAGGATGGACTCTAGTCCACAGGTTTTGGAGGGTGGATCCTAGTGAACTGCTGTTGGAGGGTGGACCCTAGTCCACTGGTGTTGGAGGGTGGATCCTAGTCCACTGGTGTTGCAGAGTGGACCCTAGTCCACTGGTGTAAGAGGATGGACCCTAGTCCACTGGTTTTGGGGGGTTTATCCTTGTTCCCTTGTAGAGAATGGACCCTAGTCCACTGGTGTTGGATGAACTCTAGCCCACTAGTGTTGGAGGATGAACTCTACTCCACTGGTTTTGGAGGGTGGATCCTAGTCCAC